CATAAATATAAAATTTTATCAATAAATCATCCATCACCAATATGATATCCTTGAGTGATAAAGAATCCCACATGTAACGCATTGGTGATATCCATAAATTAATTTTTGTAAAAGGATATATAATTTCTGGTGGGGTGGTTCTAAAATAACCAGCCAACAACTTTCTCCAAAAAATGAAAAATGGAGAGCACTCGGGCTTCGGCAAGGAGAGCGGCAGCAAGGAAAGACAATGGCTACAGACAGCGGCAAGGATACAGGAATGGCTATGCAGGTGGCTACAGACAGCGCCAAGGAGACAGGAATGGTTTTGCAGGTGGATACAGACAGCGGCAAGGAGACAGGAATGGTTTTGCAGGTTATACTGCACAGTTCTTCGGAGGGTCAACGACATTCTTCTTTTATAACTTCCCAGAGGAAATGGAGGCAAAGTTTCTATGGAACAGCTTTCAGATGTACGGCAAGGTAGTTGATGTGTATCTTCCGAGCAAACGAGATAAGAGAGGGAAGAGGTATGGTTTCGTGCGGTTAACAGGGGTCAAGGATGAGATTCAAATGGAGAGGAGGCTGAATGAGATCTGGATTGGCTCGTACAAGATGAGAGTGAAGATTGCAAATGACAGACAGAGGAAAGCATCAACGCCCAGAAAGGTTCAAGGCGTGTTTAAAGTTAATGGATCAACATGCAGCATGAATAGATTGGTTCAACCAGGGCATTCATACGCACAAATAGTGAAGGGCCAAGGAAAAAGGGCAGATAAGGTATCAGAACATCTTCAGGAAAAAGTAAAAGAAGCAGCCCTAGAAAAGGAAGTGGTCAAAACAGGGTTACAGGAGAATACAGACATAGAAAAAACAGAGGAGACTATTGAATACACCCCAACGGGAGAAGAGTTGCAATGGCTTGAGGGGGGCATGATGGCAGTGGTGAGGTCAATGGCGTTGGTGTCTGAGATTCAAGAGCAAATGGGCGCTGATGGAGGCTCAATCTCGTTATCACCAATTGGGGGAAGACGGGTGTTACTAACTGAAAAAGTTGTAGGGTTTTTATCTAATTATATGAAGCATAACCAGGAGTTGTTTGGACTGTGGTTCGAGTCTATAAAACCATGGGAGATGGAACCAGAGGAGAAAAGCCGAATGATGTGGTTGCGCATATCCGGAGTGCCATTAAAGGCATGGGGTGATAGGTGTTTTCAGATGATAGGTGAGACAATCGGAGAAGTTTTGATGGTTCATGAGGATACAAAGAAGAAATCAATCTTATGGGATGGGAGAGTATTGATATTAGGCTTGGAGTCTTGTAAAGTCTCAAAACAAGTTAAGCTCAAGGTGGGAGAGCAGGTGTACGAGATAGAGATAGTTGAAGAAGAGTGGCGCTCTGATCTGGATTGGTGGTTATCGGAGAATGACCGGAGAAGTGACCTGGAAACGGAGTCCGATTACTCAAACTCGTGGTGTCAGAATGAGGATCCTGAACTGGATATGGATGTGATGGGCGACGGCGAGGATACAAGTAACGGGTCAGAGCATTTAATGAAGGAGTTGGTTTCA